TAGAAGTTAAGTAGAATTCTTGAAAATCTTGGCTTTACAGGGGAACTGCTGTAAGAGTCACAGTAAACAGAAATAATTGAAGTTCAGTTCGAATTACATTCAAACTAAAAGATTTTCCTCCTGCAGTCTTGTGACCCTTACTTGCCTCAAAAATTAAGCAGTTTCTTTCTTTCCTCCTTTTTTTTTTTTTTTTAACAAATGCTCTTTTCTTCAGGAGTTGGGGAGATTACAGTAATTCCCCGCTGATCGTTACATCTTTACTAATGCATCACTTTCCCTATTATATCTGCCTAATTTGGTCAAACCAGCAAGCGGATCCTGTGCTTTCTGACTAAGACGGTCATGAGCTCTGCCTCGGCGAAAAAAACCTCAGCCGCAGGGTAATTTGACCTAATAAGGCTTCCATTCGACCCTTTCAACTGTATTATGTCTGAAATAATTGTCTACTCTCTCTACCTTATGGCGTTGCTGTGGAAACTGATGAACACTTGACAGCTGTAGGATGGGGTTGCCATGACAACACAGCCAACCCTGCACCCTTGTGTGTGTGCGTGGAGAGGGGTGGGCACTTTTTTTCCTTTTTCTTTTTTCTATTTTTTTTTTTCCCTCCGTCTTGCAGTGTGAGTGGTGCACGACATGCTGTCATCAGCCAGGCATTATGGGAGCAGGGAGATGGAACAATCCTGACTCCAGGGCCTACCTCACCCTCTCCAGATAAAGGATTTTCCCCAACCAGGAAGAAGCTCTAAACCTGTCAAAAACCAAAGAGCTAGATCTGTCAAAACAAGTCCTGGGGCTGCATCTCTTGCCACTGCTCGCATTGTCAGTCTGGTCGTATCCCGGCTGGTTTGCCCTCGACGCCTTGGTATTCACTACAGGGCCAAACATCGCTATCGGAATAGACTCATTATTCATATCACAGATTTCCCTGAAACTAATTTATAGGATTCTTTTTCGCATCTTGGTCTCAACAGGTGGAATATTAATCCACCAGGAGCTGTTATTGTTTTGAATACGATATTGTCTGGCCTTCAGAATGGCGTCCCTTGGAGTGTCTGTTTTCCTGCCCGCGCCTATTTCCTTGCAAATATGTGTGTATTCACGAGTGCACATTTGTGTTGTCTGTCTCCGCATCTGACATTATTTTTGATATGATAATTCTGTTTTGCTTGTTTGGAACTCTCGGTTTCTTTTGTCGCCACCACAATAAGGAATCGTGTCACTTTTTTTTTCCCTCTACTGTATTCATCTGCTTATGCATGCACGTCTATGTGTGTAAGCATCTATTTATTTCAAGTAGTAATCTAATTTAATTTAACCTGCAGCATCAGTGAACAAGCATTTCTACAACCTTGCAGGAAATACTTGAGATGCCCGGAAGTGCGGAGCTGACAGGCGCGCCACCGTCTCGTCAATATCAGTATTCTCGCTGTCACTCAGTGTCAACACGTAGCCGCCCAGCAGCGCCGAGCATGTTGTGTGTGCATGCTCTCATTCATATGCTCAGCGCCTTCCGCTCCATATTTACTGTTGGTGAACTCGCCGTCGAGTTCAGCTCGTATCTCTTTCAGCAGATACAGCGCTTTGAGAGATTCCGCTGTATAAATAAGCGAGTAATGTTTGTATTTTTCACCGCAGATATAAATTTCATCATAAGTGAGCCCAGAAAATTGCTTTCTCGTATACAGTATGATGTGAGATGCAAGTTAAGGCCCGCATCTTCATGCAGAGAGTGCCCTCCGTGGAGAAGAAGGTTGGAAGCCAAGATTGAGGCAGCCTTCAGGGACATTAGTTGACTAACAGAGGCGTAGAAGGGTATCAGGAGAGACAGGTCCTGGATGGATAAGAAGTAGAACAAGATGCTCATGATTGAGGCTCTAGAGATTGCCAAACAAAGACTCTCAGCTCTGGCTGAGAGGCTGAAAAGATACACCAGAGGAGCAGAGGCCAAGTTAATAAGTGGCCTGTTCTCCAAAGACCCATCCAGGGTTTTCTCCCAGCTGTGACACATCCAGAACTGATGTTGAGCAAAACTGGATGGACGTATGGGAGAAAGAGGCGACACAAAAGCGCTAATGCCAAGTGGCCGGTGGACCTAACGGCAGACCACAGCAATCTTCCACAACAGGGATCAGTCACCGTCACGAAGGCAGACGTCCAACTAAGCTGGAAGAATTGGACGTCAGCAGCACCTGACACGAAGCACTCCTGCTGGCTGAAGAGGCTAAAAGTGCTCCACGCTCACATCACAGAAGGTCGGGGCTAAAGTTGCCAGAGCAACAGCGCATTTCCCTCTTTGGCTGATTATTGTTGCCATTGTAGTGGCATTAATGCTGAGTAGCCCTTAACTGCTGACGTTAGACCCATTTAAATCACCATAGTGGCCAAACTAGTATTACTCTTAGATAGGCATGCCTGTGTGGAGCAGTGCAAAGATGTAAAATAAAAGGAAAATTGTGACACAAAGCGATGCCCCTATGTCTCATGTGACACTGTGGCATCCAAACTTGATATTAATGACGTTGTCTGAGAGCAGTGAGTCCTTTAAAGTTGTGAAAATGATTAAAGGTGATTATTGGTTGATTTGTCATCATAGTCAACAGTTTGACATTCTGTTTCTTAATGTAATTAACCTTTGTAAATTACCTGCTCGGTTCAATATTTAATTTTTCTAAGTGTTCTCTGTGCCGTCAATCTGTGTTAGACGTGCTATAGACAGTGCACAGTACCATAGGTATGGATTTTAGAGGGATACATGCACCATTCAATATTTAGAATATGTGCATTTGATGGCGTTTCTTGTTACCGAAGACCAAAGAGACATTTTCACCTTAAAATGATGAAGAAAAGGCACAAATTGGTACATAAAAATTCACCACAATGCACAAAACTAAAGAGTTAATGCTCAAAATTTCCTGATGGAGGACCCCAAGACCCCTCTCAGTGTCTCTTAACTCCACAATCAGTCCCATTTATGAGTTGCATTCCTTATTGTGTACTTTGTAACCTACAACGTGTCTAAATACACACCAACTCACAACCCCAAGCGCCGTCTGTGCAAACTTCCACGTCCACTTAAGCGGCGCTCACCTGTGCAAGCGTCTGAAATATGCGGAGAGGAACTGCCAGCAGAGAGCCAATCTTGTTATTTAAAGCACGAGGCTGTTTTCCTGCAGCTCCCCCACAAGTAGACTCTTATTGACTCCTTTAGGATGTTTTAATCGGCTGCAGAATCTTAGCTCTAATCTCCCCCATTTCCCACCAGCATCCTCTCGTTCCCAGAACCCTCGCTGTTATCTCCGTCTATAGTGAAAACGGCAGCGATGCCCTGAGCCAAAGAACACGCTCCCATGTATATTCATGTTCGGCACGATATGAAACAGGAGCACCTGCAGCTCTAATAATGAGGAAATTGTGGCAGCCCCGTAACTGTTTCAGATACATTCAGATTCAATCAAGCAATTCAGTCCTTTGCTTCACTTGGACGATTTGCAATATCTACCCCGACGAGTGCTTCCAGCTAATCACATGTTCTCCACATGTAGGAGGCCTGAAACACAGGTAGTGCACCTTGTAAAACACAAAGTCATGCACTTGGAAGAGATTTTTCATATTTTGTTTTTAAAAAGTTTAAAATGGAAGCTGAATTTGGTGTCGGTTTTTCCAAATTATGCCTCGAGCAAGTTTGGTACATGCAAGTTGTGCTAAAACAGTATATTTGCACATAAGGTATACATCAATATACATGTTTTAAAAAGTTGTCTTCTGTTTGGATTTCTGCTTCTTTGTATACAAACTGACAGTGTGCAGTTTATTGATTTAGTGATACAGTAATACACCATAGGCCAACAGTTTCTTGTGTCTTGCATGACAATCTAGGCATGAAGACACATCAAATATGAATGAATACATCATGATATGGCCTAGATATGATTTCTAAATAGATATTGATTCATGTTCTGGCATTTAAATGTATATCAATGACCCAAAAAAAAGCCTTTCGTGAGTTAAAGTTTTCATTGTCAGACTGAACAAGACGTTTCTCAGTTCAGCCTTTCCATCTCTTCTATGTCTCTTTCAGACATAAATATTGTCTGTCCCGCTGCATTGTGTATTTTCTTTAGCTTGGGTTGAACAAGTCTTTGCTTGGTTTAGTCACTCTGGCTGTTCCGAGTGTCAAAATCCTCATTCCGCCGCTGCCAGTGTACTGACATTTTCTGTCAGCTTTCGTTGTTACACTGAAACAGTAATTCCCTCTGGTTGCTGCTGTTTGTAGAAGCGGAGGTGATACTCTGGTCCACTTCTGCTGTGTGATTAGCAGAGCAGTTTTTTTCTGTTCATTTTCAAATTGTTCCTGCACTCCTCTTTTACCAGCAGTAATTCTTCTCTTCTGTTTTTTTTTTTTTTTCAGTCTCAGTCCTTGGCCTGTTGTCAGATCTGCGCGTGGACTTGGATCTGCATACCCTGCTGTTTGGCGAGAGCGTCCTGAATGATGCCGTGGCCATCGTCCTGACACAGTCAGTATCTCGCTTTCAGATTTGTCTCAGCTCTTGAATGCAGTATATTTCAAGGTTTAATTGTGTGGGTGCTCAGACTTTTCCAACTGGCATTATGGAGGAGGATGTGTGGGTGAAGGAAGGCTGAATGGATGCTGCCAGCTTTAAGGAAAAAAGGATGTGACTGGCAAAACAGCATGAGCGCCTTGAATAGTATGCGGTGGACTGCATAAGCGAGTTGCCCCTAGCATTGTCAGCATCTCATTAAGGTACTCAGTGGAGACACTCACTGCCAGAGCAGAGACACACTTCCAGCTAACGAACTTGGCCAACATAGGTGCTGTCAAATACAGACGAATTGCAACAGAAAATCCTCAGGAGCTCGGCTAAGTCGCCACGATGCAGTCGTGCCTTGTCCGTGCCTTTCAGTTGCTTCATTCTTTCTCAACTCAAATATGCACGATTGTCCTGCTCGCTCACATTGCAGTCATTGTCTGCTCTATTTACGCAATGCTGGCGAACAAAGCCAGTCAAGTAGACGTGCTAGCAGATGGCAAGTTGGAGATGGAGAGGGGAGAGAACTCTCACTTCTCCACATTCATGGCCAGGCGGGCAGATGTACAAATGAAGGTGGAAGTGAGAGAGAGAGAAATGGCAGGAATAAGATATTTGCTTGTTGCATTCACACAGAGTGACGCATCACATGTACAGCACCTGCTGACAACTCTTTCTCCGATTAAACCAAAATGGGCCCAGACAGGCAGGCAGATAGAGAGAGAAAAAAAGTGTGCAAGATTGCTGTAGCTGCTATCGCCAAGTACATCGAAGTGCAAAGGAGAGGGAGCCGTCTTTCTTCCCGGACAAACGGTCAGATAGTGCCATGTTTGTTCCTGGAGTGGCGTGACCGGCCTTCACGCCATCTCCTGTCACTTGACTGGGTCGCTAGCCTGCCGGTCGCTCTGGCCCCGCACACAAAGCCGGCCCTTATTAGCGAGCCACGCGGGGTCCTGGCACTGGAATTTTAACAAGCTCCCAGAGCAGCTCAACCTTACGCTGATGTGCCCTCTCCCAGGCACAAAACTTCCTGCTCCGGCAAGCCCTGACCCAGCCACCATTCAAGCGGCTGCTGCATTAACATCTCGGAGGCTTTCGCCGGGCGTTTCTGAAGACGCGGAAGGTCACGCCGGCCGGGGTGGCAAATTTAATGCGCCAACATAACCGAAGTCTTTACTTTCACGGGGTGGAGGGTAATAGATGTGCACTGATCAGGCTGCAGATCTCATTAGGTGACACTTTGATTGATTCCTCCCCTTCTGTTATGTAGATTAAGGCATGTTGCGCCGTGTGTGCGCGAGCTCATTTCAACCTGACAGCACGAAAAGCGGAGACACATTACAGGCTCATTTGTCAACAGTTTGGGGGACATTTTTTTTGACACTTTAAGGATCTTCGTCGGGGTTAGCAGGAGGGTAAGATGACTTTGTGTAAGTTTAGGCTGTAGGATGCTTTTTTGCCTCCTTAGCTGTGATACTGTGTTAAAACTAAACAACCTCTTCCGCATTGTTGTTTTTTTTTTGCTGACTCAGCGGTTTGATATTCATTTAAAACAGCCAAAGTCCAAGGGGAGTACATGGGAGGGTCTGATGTGGCTAAAGAAGTGCTGTCATTCCAGAAAGGCAGCCAGCTCCTACAGCTACTCGCATGGCTGCTTGTCTCTGCTTGCTTCACCACACCCCCCCCTCCACACACACACACACACACATACACACACACATAGACACACAACAACTCTCGCCTCCCTCTGTCCTCCCTGTGAGGCCTCTTTTGCACTCAATGACTTCCATGTGGCGCTATCCCTTCCCCCCACAAAGTAAATATTTATAGCGGCGTGAATAACATTATGCAGCTATCTTTTGTGTGCAACAATAGTATTTCCCCAGTTCCCCCTGCTAACTACACGGGGACGTCTCTCCGGCAAATAATTCAGAATGCATTGTTTTTCAAGGGAAGGATTTTTTTGCTCCTAAAGAAGGCCATGTATTCTTAGGAACGACTCCAATAAATTGCACTTAAAGGCTTAGCTCAGCATAATAAGCATGTGAATTTATGCCCGCTGTTGCAGGCTGGTTTACACCAAGAACCTGGTGAGTCATAATTCTGATGACTGCACTATTTCCACAGCCGTAAACAATGCTGTTGCTTTAAAGTTTCAGCGTCTATAACGCTCACATTTACCTCTGTTCTAATTGTGCCTCTTTTATGGCCTCTGTTTTGTTCTTTTTTTGTATTTTCAGCGCCATCACCACCTACGACCAGACGGGCGCCGTCTTCGATCCCGCCGCCTTCCTTCGCTCTGCTGGACTTTTTCTTGGGGTGCTTGTTGGTTCCATCCTCATAGGTTTCATATTCACAGTAATAACAGCCCTCATATCCTTTCATCCCCTCCCATCTCTACCTCTGCACCCCAGACTCAATTATCACCTCGGCATCCGCTGCAATATATTCACTTCCTCAACTTGGTAATTGCTTCTCTAACAAACCCCCTACTGTACCTCTTTTATCAACAAAAGCAACGCGGCTAAGTCTAAAGTGCTCCTGCGACATTAATGGCTGCAGAGCGCTCGTCAATCAAGCAAATAGCCTATGATGAAATTTCGACTTGCGCTGTTGTCCGGCATTTCTCTCTGATCTTGAAGTAATTAGACTTTAGGATGAAAAATGAGGATGTGTCATAAGAGGTTTGGGGCAGAGCTCAGCTCTTATTTACAGTGACTAATCTCTTGGTGCAGGCAAACTCCAAAGTGAGCATTTATTAGATTTCGCTGATGCTAAGCATAGCAACAGTCTGCTCTTTTGTTCTGTCTCTTCAAACAGCAGGCTTAAAGAATTCGGTTTGACGTGCAGTTTGCTCATTTGTCTTGTAATTACGTACTGTACCCGTCCTTGAGAATTAGAAAAACAATCAGACTTGGGAAGGTGTTTTTTATTTTTTTAATTTTTGGAAGCCAGCAGGGTGTTGAAGGTGTTCAGGAATGCAGAGCAGCAAACTGTGCTCGTGTAGCAATCCATCTTTATGTTCTGCGTGAGTGTCATAAATCCAAAATTTCCAACCCGTACACTTTCACCTGGAACACTGTGTAAAAATACAGTATGGATCACAAGTAGGTTTTTGCCGGAGGGGATGTGGAAGAGCTGCGAAGAGATGTGGAGAACTCACAGGAAAGATCTCATTAAATCCCAATGATTACTCCTCTATGGCAAATCCTCTGGCTTATTGAGCAAGTTTTGTTTGCAGGTACAGCACAGCCGAGTTTCTCTCTGCCTGGAACGTTCATGCACAAAATGTGTATCACCGCTGCAACATCAACCTCAGCCTGATGTGTTAAATACTGCATGATTATCGCCTTGCATATCTTTAACTCTCTTTCCACCTCACTAAATTCACTCGACTGCATGAGAACCCCCTGCTGGAGACGTCAGTCTTCTTCCTGCTCTCCTGGAGCAGCTTCCTCTCAGCCCAAGCCGGTGGACTTTCAGGTGAATACTGTATGTTATTTGTGTGTCCGTGGCCGTATCAGTGCTCTGGGTGGTCAGACTGAATACAAATCCTGTTAGTGAATCGCTGCCCTTTTTTCCCCCCTCGGGCGTTTCTTCTCAACTGCACGCACTGACTTGCATGCTGCTCCACGGTATCAATGACACGAGCAGCTGTTTGACTGGCGAGCTCTGCTGCTTCAAGGCGTCTCTGTAACCACTTGCAGTCCAAAAACCTGGAAATCATGCGTGCACACTCTCTGTTGTCCAGACATGACCATCTGCACAGTTCCCTGCTCAAAAACACAATCAATTTTCTTTCAGTCAACCCAAACCACCCGGTATAGTCAACAAAAAGTCTGTCCATTACATACTTTACCCTTTGAAAGTCCTTGGCATCATAACAAGTCAATAATGTACAGATTAGAAAGCTATTTTCTCTCTACAGGGGATGGGTTACATTCTGGGCTCAACCTCTTGAAATCAGTTTAAAATCATGTCCAATCCAGCTGCCTCTGTCTGAGCATGTTCATACCTTTAGTTTTGTAGATGGCACCAAAGATAACAGTAAGATGGAACACCAGAATAGCATTGTTCCCTTGGCTGTTTGTGCATGTTTCCTGGAAAGAGAAGAAAAGTCGTCAGCCCTCATGTAAAGATAAACTACAACTGACTTTTTATTTTATTTCATTTTTTTGCCACTCTCGCTTTGGATGTCTTGTATGTGCCCTTAATTCTATTTGGTAGTTCACTTTATTGAATCATAGAATCTGAAATTTTTTGGATATCTCATTTGGAAAACAGCAAGTCTTGGCTCCGTTTCCCAGAATTGTCTTCATCTTTTTCTTCGATGATCCCTCGTTTTGAAATATGAATGCAGTTTACATATGCGCACATTAGTGATGTTGTTCCTGCTGCCCCAGTTGTGTCAGAGGGATTCCATTCATTCAGCTGATGTTGTGGAGCTCTCTCATACTTGGCAGTACTCCCTGTGGCCTGTGGAGGAAGAGAAGATGGTTTTAATGAAATAGCTTGACCTTTGTCTATTGGACCCAGATGCCCTGTCTATAAAGTACAGCATTCTGAATGCTGCCCAGTGTGGGAGTCAAACCACAGCTAAACCAGAGGCAGTGATTCTCAGTAGTATCTGATGCGGAGCCTCGGGGTATTTTTAGTAGAGATGCAGCGTTTGGGCTTGTTTTTACAGAGCTGATACTGAAACACTGTATTCAACCTGAAACCTGCAGTGTTATACAACCCATTTTAATGCTGCTATCTAAAATCAAGCACAATCTTGATATTAAAATGGAACGTTTAAAACCAATGAAAGACGGCGTCGCTCTTTTCGGAGGCCTTTAATAGTCCATTTGGGGTGAAGCCGCACCTCATCCCGAGGAACTCAGTGAGCGATGGGAGTCCTCGCTGGTGTCCTTTAGTAATTGAGGCTCTTTCTGTCTCTGTTAATTGCTGGAGTTTAGCGAGGGTGTGCCTAATGACCCTCATCCCAGCAAGGAGACCTGCTATCATTAATCTTACGCCCCTCACAACCACTCATTATGGGATGCATCTAATCTGTTGCCAAGTGCCCTGTGTGGAAGTCACTTTATGTAGATGCTGAGTGATGTGTTACCCTTGTCAGCGTTACGTAAACCAAGGAGGATGTTGTTGCCCTAAACCAAATGGAAGCAAAATGAGATCTGCCACGCTGGCATGCTCCATTAGACTTTGTTGAACGGGACATTGTGAAGAGGGATTTAGTGGAGCTAGCATAGTGCAGGTACAGGTCAGCGTTGTGGTGTGAAGGCGGACAGCGAAGAGAGAGTAATGGACTGGTTCTCGTTTAGCAGCCAGAACTAAAAGCGCTATTTCTTTCTCTTTTCTGCCGTATTTATTACAACCAGCTCTGCGCTCATTGCTACACCCATCACAGTAATTTCACATCTTTTTTTTTTTTCTCCCCCCATGTTCTGCGATTCTCTCTCCAAGTAAAGGGAGCAAAAATGTGAAATTGAATTTCTGCAACAAAGCAAGCATGTCCTGCGAGGCAGCAACCCACATGCTATGCGCTTCAAATTCCAGCTCTCTGGTCCATCCAGCCTCTTTTGTAACAGCAGGGGCCCTAATCACTCCCTCCACCCTGTTTCCTCTCTCTGTGGAGCAGATTTTTTTTTATGTTCTCTATTTCTTTCCCCCTCTGAACTGTCATTTGTTTCCCTTTTGTTAATTTCTGCTCCTCCGCATCTGGCACCATCTATAGGGATTATGTCATGCTTTAGGATTTTTCAGTCCCAGAGCTTCGTATCTCTGGAAGCAAAGGTTTTGAGATGCTTAAGTTGGGTTGGACGGCACATTTTTATAGAGCTGTTTGTTCAGCTGGACTTCATTGGAACCTGGTGGATGCAGGGTTGGGCCCATGTGCTCTGGTGTCACATATATACTCCTATATAACACATAAGCAGCTGCACGCAATTCTTGGACCTTCAAACCAAAGCCTAATGCATTATTCCGCTAATACTGTCCGCTTATTTTCAATCGTCATCTAGTGTTTGATCCCAAAATTGAGTTTTGGACAGAAAATCAGTTTATCTTTGCCTTATTAAGTCGGTTGCTTTCATTTAAAAAATGTTGGATTGAACCACTCAGCCTGACAAAGACTCCTTTCACAAATCATTTTTCCTCTGATAGAACAACCTCCTACAGCATATTCTCAACATGAAAAGCTCCAAAGCTCCGTGTGTTAACCGGCACACAAACATACACAATCCCACAGCCTGATTGCATAATATGTGCATGTAAAGGGTGATTTTGCATACCGTGTGCTAATCAGATGCAGCTCATTGTTAACTCCCTGCTGCTGACAGAACTCTCATATGAGTTTTGTCCGTAAAATGTTCACATTTGCCAGCAACAGATGCCTTTTTTTTTTCCCTATTTGATTTAATATTTCAGCAATCTAACTTTCGTGTTTTCATCTTTCAGGTATTGTAGCAGTGCTGTTCTGTGGCTTAAGTCAAGCAAGATACACGGTGCTCAATTTATCCTCTGAGGGCAGGACAAGGACCAAGCAGGTAGGTTTACGAAGGCCGATTACGCCGTTGTTTTCAAACAGAATCTGCTCATCTTTGCTCAGATTGCCTTTTGATGACAGTGTTTGTGTCTTGCGTGTGTGCGCGCAAGCGGTCATTAGTTGCCATTAGTGCTCCGGTTGTCCAGTGGGTGTCCGTGTGGGAGACCGGTCTCCAGCTATCTGCTTAAAAGGCTGAGCGCAGATGGAGGCCAGGACGCTGTCATGCTGCGCCGACAAGCTTCACAGAGGAGCAAATAAATCAGAAGCGCACACATATACTCATCTATGCATTTATTATTCATTATCGGTGCCACAGTGCAGCTAACTGTTTATCACAGAAAAGCCTTTTAAAAGGCAGCACGGTTGAAGCCTTCCCCCTATAAAGTGGATTGGCCATGCGATGTATGTGTGGGGCGCAGAATGTTTACTTGGCGGAATGCCGCTATCTATATTTTTATGATTTATACATGCAGCCGCAGCTCAAAGGAGAAGGTGATTTAGTGTGCGCGGACACTAGTTGAATAGCTGGTGGCACAAATATTTCTCTCTGCAGCGTTTCTTGTCCTTGTGATGTGAAGCTCTGAGGGGAGATGTTACACTTATTCAATTAGATAGTTTTTTTTTTTCTTTACCAAAGCTTAAAAGCCAAAGCTGGTTTTAGTCCTGAAAAACAGAAATTAATAAATCATAAAGTCGGCTCTCATTTAATCTAGTCACTACATAAGGCCCTTAATTAATATTCATGAATATTAATATTTCCTATGCAGAAATGCCTCATTAAAGTTATTCAAAGTCTATTTATATCAACAGTATAAGAAGCTCTTCAACATGGCTTGGATCATTACAAGACTAAGACGATGAGTTCAATATTCAGATGAGAAATAAGAATCAACACAATAAGACGTTTTTACAACCGACGTGTTTCCAATAAATTTCTTTTTTTACAAGAAAACGATGACAACAACATGTCTGTTGTTAAATGCAACTGCATTATGCCCTGGAGCTGTACATGTTTGCACTTGCTACCTCAAAGGGAATAACATCAACACAGGATTTGTCGTGTTTGTACAAATCTAAGCCTCTTTAGCCGTTTCAGTTAGGATCCGAGTCTTTCACTTTCACACCCTTTTCTTACATCCTTCACTCTCTCTCTCTCACACACACACACTCTGACAGACATGGGGATATAAGACTGACTTAGATTCATTTCACAGCCACTACTTCCTTAACCGTAAACATTCATCTCTACCTTAGAATGTAATGATTTACGCTATTTGTCTCCAAAAGTAAAGCAGGTGTGTCGCCGCGCTCACAACAGTGCGAGTCGACACACACACACATCTGCATGCACAAACACTCGCAACCACACCTCATCTCAGATGACCTTCTCCCTTATGATCCTCTCAATCCCTTTTATAATTTGCAGCTCTTTGAAGTCTTCAACTTCCTGGGGGAGATTTTCATCTTCGGCTACATGGGATATGTATTGTTGACGTTTCCTCACCATGTCTTCAAAGCTGTCTTCATTTCTGGGGCATTTGTATCCTTTTCTGCTACATGCTGGAGCATCCTCACCCTCCTGCCGTGCAGCCTTTGGATCCCACTCAGACCCCAGAAATGGTGTTTGGGTCTGTTTTGTTCTGTCTCCTATACCTTTGGTCGTAATCCTTAGCTGTTCAATCACCTGCCACTTATTGAATCAGAGGGGGTTTCTTGTTTTCTATCTTGCCGCTCTGCTGCAGTACAGTGATTCCTCAGTCCTTGGAAAAAGAAAAAAAAAAGAAAATAAACCCCAACAAGTCGAGACTTGAACTGTACAGGTTTGATCTGGTGAGCTCTGCAAATGCTACTCAGCTGGTCTCCCCTGCTCACCATCTCTGAAGATTTACATCATGCAGTGCAACGTCTGCTCTGATGAACGCCCATGAAACGGAAATTTAAATAGGTCTTTAATTATTGTTAGTGCTGCTTGTTTTCTGTTCTCCAGCAAAGCTCGGCGGAATAAAAATGTTTGCTGTTTGAAATAAGCTTGCAGTACTTTAATTTGTAGTGGATTAAGAGCCATATCCCTGTTGCAGTTGGAGATGAAATCTTATTAGTTCAAGGAGCTCCACTGAATGAGGTTTGTGCTGTTTGCTATCATATTGCTATCTTGTTAAAGGAGGTATCATCTCTAAAATGCTGGTTCGCTGTTAAATACTAACTGGTCACGTGTATTTGCAGGAATGATGTTTGGTGGCACGTTTATCTTAATGACAGTTACTGATCAAATATAGATACAGAAAAATAATCAACAAAGATCAAATACTGTTCAAGCAAAAGTGCCAAACTTTCATTGGCTCCAATTTCTCGAAATATTAGAATATTCAGTTTTTCCTTTCCATTGAAATGTCCTATTTTTTGCCTTGTTTTTTTCTTTTTACCTAATTTTTACCTTGTGTTATGTCCATATGGGTTTTTTTTTTTAGTATGCTAGCGGACATATGAGCCAAATAAGCAGTCAACCCCATTGCTTCAATATTACAACTTGACATCGTTTAGCATAGATTAGTTTGACAGTGTTTGAGCAAAGTTGTAAGTGAGCTGGTGTGCTTCACCTGCAGCGAGTGGTGGAGAGTTGGCTAGACTGACTTAAATCTGATGCACAACTGCACATTCGAGAGGAAATAATGATGTAGAGTTGGATCAAAGTCATTTTAAGGTAGGAAGGGTTTATTTGAATGGGAAAGAAAACCATGTATATATAATATAATCATAGAGTTTTTCGGAGTTTAATCAACAAGCGGTGAGGGGATTTAATTCTCTGTCACTGTAAATTAAATCTCTGTGTTTTGCATTGTTTGTCAGAGCAACTGGATCAATCGGCAATAAAAAAAATAGGCACTAGTTGCAGCTCTAGAAGCATCAAGATACTCCTGGTGAATATACAGTGTGGTTTGACAGCAGGGAAAAAAAAAAACGTCTAAATCGAAAACATCAACTGTAAATGTCAGGCTTCGGAAAAGACATGCTCAGAATCAAAGAGCGGCACTTCCTGTCTAGGCCTGTAACTGACAAAAAAAGTCATACAGGCAGAAATTGGTGCGATAAGGTTCATTAGTTTCAGTTTCTGCTCTTGCATGAGCTTCCTCTGAGCACCAGAACAGCCAAAATGCATGTTGCGCTATCAAAAAGGTATCAGCTCCTTAATGATACATGCTAAGGTTATATTATCGCGACAGATGTCCTGTGTTCGGAGCCGTTTGTTGGATCTTTCGGCTTTGCTTCCTGAGGGACGGGAATGGGCGGTAATGGACTGCTGGCTACCCACTGCACAATTGTCCTTGCCCGAGAGCTGGCATGACCGTAGTGTATGCCGGAGGAGAGACTCTTGTGGCCGCACTCCAAGGAACTGTTCTTTCACAGTCCACTGCCCAGATGGCCAGCAATTATTATTACAATCCATCTTCCACCATTGGGTCAAAGGGGCCAGAGAAAGAGTTGACTGAGCAGATTCTTTTTTCCAATGCTCTTATGTTCACTGTGAGGGGCTGCCAGTGAAAAAATGTTTGACTTGAGCACTGAGCCTGTTTAGCTTTGCCCTCAGTTAACAAAAGCTTAGAGTGGAGAGAGGGGAAAAAAAAGAAAAAGTCTGGCTAACTACAGCTACTGGAAGCTGACCCGGATGTACAAACAGGAATAAATGGAGGTCGAAGTCCTCTTGTACGGCGCTAAAAGTGTCTATAAAAATGAAATAACCCCAGTGATTCAACCCTGTTAATCGCTCTTTGGTTACGCAGTAGATTTTAATCGCCGTAGCTCGCAGCCTTTGCCAGTGACAATGGAGATAGGCTTTATTGGAAATGAGGCTAAGATGAAAGTGCTTAATTACCTCCATTCAAATAGCTCAGAGGCCTTTGATAAAGAGAAATGACTGCTTTTGGGAGCAGGATATTGCTTTTGAAAATCCATAGGGTGCATGAGATCTAATATTGACTGCAGGGTGTGAGGGAGCTCTGTTTTAGTAATAGCCCTGTCAGACTAAGGTCCCCCGCCTAAGATATTGGTCCCTTTATTATTCCAGGTGTCGTATTTGGACTTACTGTAGAATAACTAAAAAAAAATCCCCTCTATCCACCATGTAAAAGCAGAGTTACCTGTCTGCATAGATGATTCTTATTTCAAAAAGTGGTTACAAAAAAAATGTTTTTTAAAGAGCGAAAAACTTGCTTGACTCTTCCAACCTGGGTCTTACTTTTGACTCAGACGTCACTAACAAGCACCGACCACAGCATGGTTCAGCCGGTTCAGATAAGGTTAGGAGGGCTATATGGGGCGACACTAACTTCTTCGAAAAGTATCACAAAAGACGTTAAGTGTATCCAGGATGGCAGCTATGTCCCCGATAATTGTACAGATATCCTCTCCCGAACTGCTGCCCAGGACACTTAGCATTCAGTCCCATCCTATGTGAAACATCAAAGTGTGTGTGGAGGGCAGAGACAGCTGGCAGAGCCTGATTGGCTTCATGCCTCGGCATGGTGCCACACTGCTGTGTTTGCATCCTAAACAGAAAATATTCAGAGATTACTTTTTATGTGTGTGCACGTGCATATTTCAAAGGTATGGTAATATTCATGAGTGTACTTCCACAGCCTTACCTCTCGATTAGCTTGTGCTTTGTTATGGAATTTTTTTTTTTTTTCCTTTGTTGTGTATGCAAAGAATTGTGAAGCAGGGCACGGCCGATGTGGGAGTTTTTAAAGCCGATGCTGTGCAGATTTTTAAGGAGTAAAATGTTCTGATATTGATATATCAGGGAGCATTGTTTGTTAACTTTCCAGCAATTTATTTCAAACACTAGTTAGCACTAGATTACCATGATGACACCGCTTGACTCCGCACCAATCATGTGTGACTCAGCTACATGTGCTGCAGAGCCGCTTTGCTGGATAAACTACCCCTTTATAAATGACGCCAAGAACCTTTCCTGCACTAAAAGGTTTCATATCTGTGCATTTTTGGGCAACATTTCTGCAAATACCGGAAACACAACTGACTAATATATCGATCAGGCCTTAATCTAAAGTCAACTATGAGGGTTTTTGAAATCTATCAATCATTTAAATGTATTTTAACCAACTTAACTTACTCCAGATTTTTTTCTCACACTGTTTAACTCCAACCAAAATGTTAACCAGTGCATTTCAAATGGCTTCTTTCAACATGTTATTAAATTTAATTGAAAAAAAACCCAACAAATTTCCATGAGAACTGTCCGCCTTGTAAGAGTCCTTCAACCTGTGAGTGTGTCTCAGTCACAAGCATTCTCCTTAATCTGCACTCCATGCATACAGCTATCCATCTTTATTTCAAGAGCATGCAACATCTACCCTTTGTCTTTCCTGCTGAACCTGGGCCGCACCAACAAGATTCCCTGCGCCTTCCAGCACTTCATGACGCTCGCAGGTACTGTTTTCATAACCTCCGTTAGCATTATTTATTGTGATTTATTCTCATTTGCATCTCACTCAACATTTTTTTTTACCTTCTGTCTGGCTACAGCGCAATGATTCTACCGCAAAAAAAAAAAAAAAAAAAAACGACTCCAAAAAAACCCCTGATTTATCCTGTGAAAGCTCTAATTATTCCATTCTCTTCACCGCCTGCAGCTAATGGCATGAGTGAGGATGCTGAGAGAACGTGTCCCTCGTGGAACAAGTGCGAGTTGGTGTGTGTGAGTGTGTGTGTGTGTGCAGAAAAGTCAGTAAGGCGGACAGAAAGACCAGCACCTACCTCAGGCTTCAGAATAATTCACTACCCTTGTTAGACTTTTTGCATTAATCGATATTGTCAGAATCGTAGATTATTTTATGATTCACTCTCTCTCTTTTTGTTTTTTGCTATTTTCACAGCCTGCGTTTCAGGGAGGAAGAGTATGCAAAGTATCTTCTCACTTTAGACTAATGGTTGACACCCTAAATGGTTTGACGATGCAGGAGAAAGAAATGTTTGATGTGAAGTGATGTGGGGTAGTGCTGCAGCAGCATGTTTCTCTGCTTGCCTGACCCACTTTCCCGCTTACGTAAGAAGGTTTCTTTGTAAAAAAAAAAAAAAAAAAAGCCTGTGTCTTGTTATTTTTCAAAAATTCTCCCCACCACATCCCTCACCCACTCCCCCATCTGTTTCTCATGGCAGTAAAGGATTTGCTCCGGGAATTGTTTTGGCTTTAAGCATTATGTCACCGGCAATCTTGAAGTTGGGGGGGGGCAACGTGCTGGTCAGCAAGCGGTCAAACACAGTGATGGGATGTAATCTGTTACATTTGGACAGAGTTGCTAACTGGATTGCTTTCTAGGTGGCTTGTCTGGCGGTTTGATCGATGGCGTCGGTCCAAGTTCTTTGCTCTGAAATGTCTTTTCTGCCTTCAGGTTTGAGGGGAGCCGTAGCTTTCAGCGTAGCTTTCAGCCTGGCTGCAAGAGACGACTCCACAGAAGCTCGCCGCGCCATCCTCACCACCACTCTGCTGCTGGTCGCCTTCACCATCTGGGTGCTGGGTTCGGCTTCTGATCCCGTGCTGCGGCGTCTGGACATCAGGTTAGCTCTAGTCGGGATGCGATGCAGGTCTAACCTATCCGTCCTGTCTCTCCATCTGTCGATCTCTTGCCGTTTTTCCTTCATTCCCTGCAAAGGCAGCTTAATTAGACTAACACATGTACTCTCTTCCCTGCAAGGTTTTTTTTCCTCTGCAATTCTCCCCTCCCTCTCTTTGCTGCCTCTGTATGTGTGTGTGCACCAGCTCTGCCCTCCATTAGTGATTTGCACAGCTGGTGCACAGGGCAGAACAGGTCTACAGGTCCCTGGGAACATGTTACAGAGGAGATAACATTAAAATACAGCTTGCCATGCTGTAAATGCGTGTATACAGAAGAAAAAAAACAACAATCTGTAGCTGTATAATGGGAACACATAGCGACTGCCAATGTTTTTTTTTCCCTTTCAAGTCTGCGTGCTATCTGCGATACGAGGCCAGTGGGCGATAATAATTAAGGAGCACAGAAGAGGCGTGAAGGATGCAAGGCAGTAATTAGATACTTATATTATTAAAGTGCAATCTATGGCCCAGATCACAGTGGCATAATTGACTCCCACAGAAGCAGCGTGTGTGGCGTGCACGTCCGTCATTAAAACATAATGTAAGAAAGAAAATGGCTCAACAGCGTTGAAATTTAGCCAAATGTGTCTCTTTTTTTTTGGAATATTTAAAGCAACACAACAGAGGAAAAGAATTAATAGCACTGGTGTGAAAAAAAAAGAGCCCAGTTCAATAAAAAAGTTCAATAAAAATGGAAACTGCTCATGGATATCAATCTACTGTATTAAAACCAGAAGCGAAAAAAATAATGTGTTTTTTTTTTCATGTTTAAAGCACTTAGGAAACAGAACATTTCAGATGAAATAATTCAGCACAATTTAATTAATAAAATCAGGCCACTAAAAGTACAGACAGCAAATAAAACCCAACAATAAACGATACGGTTCAGATGAAGAGGCGGAAGCATATTGGAGACCAAAGTAAATCAATGATATCAGCTCGTAGGGCGATAGCAATTCAGCTGTGTACAATTTATCCAAAAGTGCCTAAACTGGAACAATGAAACGTCCTCTCCCAAAGCAACAAAACACAGACAATGAAGCAATTTGTGATGTGAAGCAAAACGTGGATCTGCCCTGCTGTTAATGAATTGCAGATTGGCTTTTGGTAATTCAATCGGCCGAGTTGTTTGTTTGAGCTTTTACAGCCAAATAAGCTTCATTTCATTGTAATGCTAACATTTATGAACCGGACAAAGAGCGCAGATCTGTTTGAAAATCCCCCCAGGGCCTCTGGATTTTGTGTCTACAAACTCTGCCCTTTTTTTGTACAGTGTCAGTCGAGCAGCATAAGAAGTTTTTTTTGCCGTATTGTTCCGAGACCTGATCTTATCCTTATCTTCACAAGAGCCGAATGAGAATTTAAGGTTGGAGATTGCACGCAACAACTCTGTTTTGTAGAGATAAAACCCCTCAAAGGCTGATTCACTTTTAGTTCCTCACAGTAATGTTGCTTTACTGTTACAGTTCTCTGCTGTTTGGAAAGTTATCCTGCCTCAACTCTTTCACTTTATGGTGACTTCGGGATCGAAAAAACTTCTCTCAAGTCTGCAAATACTCCTCTATCACTCTTTCTATATTGATTTTAACTGACATTAAATATTCATTATGTAATAAAAAAAGAGTCACATTTCTTTTCCAAGTTATTTAAAAATACTCTGCTCCGAATTGATGAACAGGGAACTTTAAAGTTATAAAAACCTCTTGGCTCTAAAGTCTAGTAATCTTTGAGGATTCGTGATTTGGTCGGATTTGATTGACAGTCGATAAGCACACGAGCAACGTCTGTGACGACTGTCTGTCTGTTGTATTTTTAAATACTCATTGGCAGGTGAAAATTGGCTTTTTCCCCATTTAAAACTCAATGTGAAAAGCACAAATAAAGCACAGATGCAGGAATAGTTCACGTGCAATAGCCAACATTAGCAGAAAACAGTGTTTTTATTGCTTATAGTAGTAACTGATTTACAACATTTGTTTCCAGAGCCTGTAAATTAACTTCTAGTGTCTGATTGTGCAGCCAAAAATAACCATTAAAATGCATAATGTGACAGGTATTTTATTCAAATGTATGTATTTGTTTGATTAAGCTTGATTCCAATGCAGTGTAAATCTCTGCATTATTCATTTTAGGAGACAATTGTTGAGTTGTAATACCTCCCACGCATTCTGCTTCGCCTTTGTGTGTGTGTACATACATGTGTACCTGTGGATATGTGTCCTGAATAACCCACCTGCACATTTCTATCCGCTCGACGTAGCTGTCTTTGTGAGTAGTCATTCCATCCGTGGAGCGCGGCGCAGCGCAGCGCACCGAGCCTTCGGGGCTGTCATGTTTCAGAGAATAGCTCCGTTTTCCTCACTTTCCATCCCAAACTCCCTCCTCCACTTCCCTTTCTCATCTCCCTTCCATCATCCGATTGTGTGAAGTAAAGGGACAAGTAGCAATTTTGAAAGACTTCATTTTGGTGAATAATACATTACATATCCTCACCTGGAGCAAATTTAACTTCCTTTCCACCTTTGAAATGGGAAATGGTTTTTTTTGTGGAGGAGTCTTTGAAAGCTGCACTGTGTGTGAAATTACTCCTATATATACAGTACAGCGGGGCCCCTCAAAATCTGAGACCACATCGGGAAAAAAATGATCAGAAAGTTATGGCATGGAAGGAATAGTTAGGATTCTGCACTCTTTCTAGGTCAGACATTAAATTTAAACAAACTTGTGCCACTGACTATGTAAGTCCTTTGAACAAATGCCCAAATTTACTTGACTTGTGTCCCTTATGTGCACTGATCAGCCTCAAAACCTTGATTGTTTTGTGACAATGGCCCCGTCATATAGCAGGATGATGCACCCTGATACAGAAATAGTCGAGGAATGGTTTGAGGCGCATTTCAAGGTGGCGAGTTTACCTCCAAATTCATCACATCTCCATCTGATCGAGCATCTGTGGGATGCTCATCCGAACTCTCAGGACTTAAAGGATCTGCTGCTGACGTCTCGGTGCCGGATACCACAGCACACCTGTTCTGGCAGGACGAGAGGGACCTTCACAGTTTTATGCAGGCGGTTCTGATGTGGCCGATCGGCGTGTGTTTGTGTGTGTGTGTGCATCAGAAGTGTCTTTTTGCTTCTGCTGTGAAATTCGTCGAAGAACGCCGGTATCACAGGTTATTTGCTGCTGGGTGTATTTGTGTGGGTGCAGCAGCGCAGGCCAATCTGCACTTTCACATAATGTAGACAGGAAGTGATGATGATTAGCTGTCACTTTTAATCTGCTTTAACTATCCTGCCAGTGATTTCCAGTGCAGATACTGAAGAGGGATGTTGTTGCTCTTGTTCATCAGAGGGGGGGGAGGGTTTACAGATTTCAGTAGGCGAGGGTTCGACTTCAAAAATGGACAAACTGACACACGAATTTCATCTTTTAGCATGAGCCGTTTTGATCATCAGCACTTCAGTCTTAGAACAGTTTATGTAATAGTAAAGTTTGGGAATTGCAAAGTGGACGCTAGATTAAAAGAGGAGAAAAGCTTATCGCAGAAAGGAAAAGCTTCCTGACAATGCATACAGGACAGTGTTGTTTGTTCCTGTATCCTGCTACTTTACGACTCTCGCATTCAGCCATACAAATTTATACAAATATGCACTCAGAGAAGGGAGGGAGGGGGGAGCAGAGCGTTTGTCAGAATGCAATATGAGATTCATGTGCTGCGTGTTTAGTTAGACGGTTAAAAGCTCAAACCAGAACTCAGTCAGTACAAAAAAAAAAAACTACTTGGGTTTTCAGTCAGCTCACTGTTGAGACATCAGACTTCACTAGACAAAATGTACTTTAAAGCCAACACTGTCAGCCTCTCCTCTCCGTCTCAACAGTTCCTCTCTTTTCCTCCATTTCAGTCTCAATTTCAAGGTACATTATTGCCCACACTTGAGAGTTTCATCATGCAGCTGCAAAATAAAATGATTATTTACACCTAACTGCATACAGTAATGAAAATACTGCTTTCGTGTGTCGCAGAATCAATAGTAATTATTGATATATTGGAACGCAACTTGCCATGACACTGTGCAATGGTCATTTATTTTCTCTGGCTCGTCTTTTCTCCTCTGCATTGTTTACGCTTGTTTCTTATCCCCAACTTCCAGAGATTTTTCTTTCTCAACGCACACACTTGGTAGTTTTACTCCTCAGGAGGCGCAAAGCAAACTTTGGAATAGATTAGGCTCAACCAACCAACTAATTTTGTTGTGCAAAGATGAAAGCTCAACCTTGGTGCAGTGCAGCAGAAGCTGGAAGCAGGATGAATCTTAGCATTATGCAAGACCAATATTTTATCACCAGGGCAGCTCCGAGTGGACTTCAGTAATACCCAGACGGTTTTAGCTCTATGTGTGCAGTATTTTAAGATGAATACAAAACTGATATGCACTGATGTATTGGAAAAGTTGTAATTTATGTGATGTTAGACGAAGTCAGGTGAATTGTTAGAATCCACCATTATGTATATAATTAGGTTACCGGTAACTCCTGCAGTAATCCTATTCTATAATAGCTTAAGCCTTGATTATGCTTCCTCGCAGACATGCACATGGGCAGCTGTGGACACCGCAGACGTGTGGTTGTTGTTATTATCCTGCTTTCCGGTTCACTTGGAGTCCACTTGGAGGACATGCACATTAAGTCGGCGTCTGCATATGACGCATGCACACGGCTGCCCTTGTGGTGGCAGTTTGGTAAGTTTAGGGCAAGTTTTGGGCTGTGTGCACACCTCCTTGGAAGGTGCAAAAGAAAACATTTATATCACTTAAGATGAGATGAGATAAAACCAGATTTTTTTCCAGATATGTCTCAGAAAACAAAATGACATAACATTAGGAAACTAGGAAGCTAATAGAAAGCAGACAGGTTCTTATAAAATTAGCTTATATTTGGAGA